GTCGATTTAAATTAAAATTTATATTATAATTCCAAATAGAGGTATGTATAAAGTCAAGGACACAAATTTAAAACATTTCATAAATTAATAAAAATTCTCACCTAGGAAAGGAAAAGAGATAATAGAAAAAATCAGCCACCCGATTGGTCAGCGGCTCCCGAAGTAAACTATTTTTTTGTCATATCATCTTCCGTTCATTTATTTTTGTTTAAAGAATCTACATTTAAAAAAGAGTAATAATATTTAGCCCCACTGGGATTACAATCTCAGTCTAGGTGACGTTAATGTGACATTAAATGATATGTGAAATTAAGTCATTTAATTTCACTTTTCACTTAGCTAATTATTTAGAGCCACATAAATTGAGGTTACAACCCCACGAGGATGAATAGCATATTCTTTAAAAAATGTAGCGCAGTCAGCATCATGAGAAGTTTTCTTAATGCATTATTGAGAGGAAGTTAGTACTTAAATACAAAAGTGGTAGCATTCTTTGTACACAAACTCATTATTTTAACTTTATAACTAATTGTACCAAGACAGGTTCCAACGAATTAGTTAAGTAATTTATTTTCCATCTTAAAAAATTCAAGGATTTATGAACATTCATAAGTACGACAACCATGTCCTCAACCTATTATATGTTGTATTCATGTCTCCAATGTTTTATAATTGTGGGACCATGTCTCTAGCTATCGAAAAACGATTATTGAAATATCTAAATTGCCACATGACATTCAAATGATGTCTAATTGAAATTGTAAAATTATTCAAAAAAAAAAAGAAATCATATATTTCAAACGATGACCTCAAATCTCATTTAAAAACTCGAATTCTCAACGAAACACTTCGATGACAGATAAGGAATGAGATTGTTCTTTACTCACTCTCTTCTATTGAATAGCCACCACTAGTCACAATTGAGGGGCACGATATTGATCCATTGCTAAGAATAACGAAGAAAAGAATATATGAACTTGCAGAAATTGAAGCCCCAAAATCAAACAAGAGATTGGTAATAGGGCCTGCCAGAGGTAACTTTTATCATTTTTTTCTATACCTACATTTTGGTTGATAGTTTTGTTACATTTCATGACGTGATTCACAATTTTGTCAAGAATTTGAACAACACTTAAAGTAATCAGTGATCTCGATTTTTACACATCATGAAATGTCAACCAATCTATACAAATGAAATTTACAAGTAGCTTAATTCAACTTTTATCGAGGAGCAGACTTGTGCACTTTGGATCTTGAATAGCTATCCTTGGACTTCACCTACAAATTGTTAGAGACATAAATGCAACAAATAAAGTTGGGGAGAACACTTACAAATTGCTAGAACCCCAAGGGGAAATTTAGCCTTCTTTATGTATAATATAAAGAACAAAGCCAGAAAAAGAAGTTTTACACACACATGGGCGGGCCACACGCGAGACCCATGATAATAAAAAATTGCCAAAAAAAATCCCACCCTCCCTCAGAACCTCGTCACTCACTGTACCCACTGCACAACTATAATATAAAAGATGGTCACATGAGTTAATTGTTTCAACGGTCACTAAACTTTATAAAATGTCACGTTTCACTCACTGAACTTTACGTTGCACACCATCACTCACTGAATTTAGTAAAACTGCACTCTATCACTCATTGGGCTAATTCCATCTACACCGTTTGCAGATGTGGACGATGGCATTGATATTTAGTCGTTAAATGACTCCAACTAGACAGTGATCAGCCATGTCATCCCCAAACATGTCTCTTCAATGGTCATTGAACTTTACAAAGTGCCACTTTTCACTCACTTAACTTTACGTTGCACCCAATCACTCACTGAACTTAGTAAAACTGTACTCCATCACTCACTAGGCTAATTCCGTCTAAACCGTTTGCAAACGTAGACGACAGCGTTGACATGTGGTTGTCAAATGACTCCATCTCGACAGTGAAGAACCATTTCATGAATTCCCAACAAAACATAGCACGCACGCAAATGAAATGATAAACATTAGCCATTACAAGTACTCATATGTCTTCTTCTCTCCTCCGAAGCGTGCCTGCCTATATCGATTGGCTCCAAATGTCCCTCATACCAGTCTTGGAGATGGGAAAAAAAAATGATCAGTTGAAAAATCTGAAAAACCTGCCCACTAAGTGCTATCATCACTGTGGATCCTGGATTAGTCCTCAAAACCTCAGCTGCATACGACCTTAGTAACCCAAACTGCTCTTCGATAATCCCGTTAATCAGTTATTTAGTATATATTCTTGCCTTCCAAGCTACATTTCTAGTAATATTTATCTTCAAGTCCTCCTTTGTTGTAGCCTGCATACTTTTTGTTTTCACTCTGGATTTGCCTTGAATTGCTCAATGTACCGATTGACTATGAACATGTAGTTACAATAACGATTGTGTAGGCTACATGTATGTTGAGGCGTATATGACTTCACTTGAACCATGTCGAGATAGAGTCATTTAACAGCCACATGTCAACGTCGCCGTCCACGTCTGCAAACGGTGTAGACGAAATTAGCCCAATGAGTGGTGAAGTGCAGTTTTACTAAGTTAAGTGAATGATCGGGTGCAATGTAAAGTTAAGTGAGTGAAATGTGATACTTTGTAAAGTTCAGTGACCGTTTAAGAGATACATTTTGGGATGACATGATTGATCACTGTCCATTTGGAGTCATTTAATGGCAAAATGTCAACGCCGTCGTCCACGTCTGCAAACAGTGTAGACGGAATTAGCCCAATGAGTGATGGAGTGCAATTTTACTAAGTTCGGTGAGTGATGGTGTGGATCGTAAAATTCAATGAGTGAAACATGACACTTTGTAAAGTTCAGTGACCGTTGAAACAATTAACTGATGGACACATGGAGACAACAATAGTCATTGACTTTTCTCTCTCCTGCATTTAATAGAATAGTCGGCGTTGGTCTGTCCATTATATAGCATCACACCATCAGCTTCTTCTCACTTTTCACTTTCAATTTTTCTTCATCTTTTTTCATAACTCATACAACTATTAGATTAATTTCTGAGCATGCATGTAATATAAAAATCCAAATTATATGTATGTATTCATATATATCTCAATCTTTCTTCTATATATATAATCGTTTTGTGTAAGCTGGATATCTTAGATTTTCGTATTCCGTAGCTGCAAATTTATAAAAATCTACCCAGCATGTAACTTGCTTCAGCTACAACACCTCTATTCTTCTCATTCTCAAAAAAAAAGTTAAGTCCTGTATATTCTTGATTTTGCAGTGCTTTGATTCCATAAGGATTGTTGTTAAATCTGGGTACAATTCAGAAGCTCGTGTAGTAACAACCTTATAAAAGCCTTCAAGTCATGTAATATTCATCCCTGAAATTAGTCGTCGTTGCCTCAACTACTCCAAAAAAAGGAAAAAAAAAAAAAGTTTTTTCGTTTTGATTTTTGGTAAATCGGAAAAGAAGGAAATCAAATGGCGGATTTTGAACCGGGGACACCAGGGACGCCGACAACGCCGACGCCTCTTATGCCGTCTCTGAGAGTGGATTCACTGTCGTACGATCGGAAGTCAATGCCGAGATGCAAGTGCTTGCCTTTGAATGCGTCTACTTGGGCTGCACCTCAAACCTGTCTCACCCACTTCTCTGCACCTGAAATTTCTCTCACTCGCAAGGTTTCACTATCTCTCTCTCTCTCTACACACGCACGTGCACGCACGCACTATTTTCCTTGAATTCCTAAAGTAGCAAGACTGTTTGATAGAAATGAATTTTAATTACAAGTTAGTTAGTTGAAAAATAAAAAATTCACCTAATTTTTTTTTTTATGAAAATAAAGAAAGTGCAACTTAAGGTGATTGTACTTAGGAAACGTGATATTTTTCATGAAAATCATTGCAATAAAACATAGTATAGAAACCTCAAATTACTATTTTCCTGGAGATCCTTGCACGCACGAACGAATTCCAAGAAAATATACTCTCTTTTATGGAAAAGAGAAAAGAAGCAATCCAGTTCAGTCCAGTTTTTATTTGAAACTACTTTTGCACTTGGATAGTAGTATTACTGTTACTATTACTATTACTATTATTGTTCCACTATCTATCCATCCAAGATATATCACCATTAATATATATGGTCACATAAATAGGTCAAACTCTATTTTATACTCACATTTCCAATACACCCATTTATTATCTGCAGTTCGATATTTTCAATGATGTAAACTATTAAAATGTTTATTTTTTTGATGAGAAGAATTGCTATTTAAATTTTGTTGGGATAACCATTTTGTTTTTTACAATCTTAGTCATTGGTTTTGAGATAGATTATATTAGTTAAGTGTATTGAATAAACATATAGCTTTTGCCAATAAAAAAAGTTAGAACAGAGAGCTTCTCCTTATTGGCATCAAACTAGTATATGGAAAAAATTGTGTGATTTGAATAGTATTGTGCAAACATGAACAGTATAATCAATAAATAGAAATTAAGTGGTCCACAATATATCTACGTTCGAATAATCCACTAACTTCGAATTGGGTACTTAAGGTCTCCATCAACTAGACCCATATACAAAAACATGAGTCAATCAACAATTTCCCTAGCGAATATGCCCCTTAGAGACCCTAAACAAGTTGAGGTATGTCTCCTCTTTAGCACTTAGAGATATTGATCAAGTTCAAGCAACGTTTGAACTTATCTACAGTGAATGCCTTCGTCAATTTGTCTGTTGCATTCTCAGTACCTTTTGAAGATCCAAGTCACTTGAAGTAACCAACGCTCTGATCTTTTGAAAACATCACCTATATGCTTGGTCCTTGCACGACACTTGGTTCTTTGCCAAATAGATCGTACTATGACTATCACATGCAACTGAACACTCAGTTCTTTAACTAGCACTGCAAGCCACAATGCTAGCAGGCTCAGCAACTGCCATGTATTCTGCATCAATCGTGGATAATGTTGTCTATCGAACGTGATACCATAATTCATAGTACCTCTCAAATATCTGAAAACTCACTCGACCACATCCGAGTGTTGAATGTCCTATACTTGCTCACCATACTAGCTGCATGTGCTATAGTTGGCCTAGTGTAGACCATAGCATACTTTAAACATCTCACTGCACTAGCACATGGTACCTTTGACATATCTTCAACCTATTCCTTTTCACTTGGGCACTGGCTAATAGACAATTTGAAATAATTCTTCGGTGTACCCACAACTGTAGCATTGGTCATGCTAAAATTCTATTAAACCTTCTACACATAGTTCTTCTGAACAACCATAACCTCCCAGATTCCCAATTCTTGTGATTCTTCTTGGCGGCACTTAAATCTTTTATGTAAAATTTTTACTTTACCTAGTTTTTCAACTTGTCGACATCAACCATAATCTTAGCAGCAATCAACATATCGTGTGTATACAACGACTAGAAAATTAATGAACCATCACCAAGGCTCTTTACTTAAACACAACAATCATACTCATAACTTGATATTCCCAATTCCACCGAACTTCGCAAAAGAAACCCCAAACATCATAAATTTGGCTCTGATATCAGTTATTGTGCAAACGCAAACAATAAAATTGAAAAGAAGAATAATAAGATCGACATACAATAATTTAAGTGATTCGCTCAAATAATTCACTAACATCGAATAGAGTAACATAAGGTTGTTTATATAGAACCCTAATTATCCTTACAACCTAATCAACAAGTAGGAGGCCAGCTTAGAATTTTATTTTAACCCTTGCTTGCAGCATAATGTGGCTGTTCATTACATAAAAGACAGATGAGCAATTGCATAATTTGGTTACGATGTACTTATATTTTACCTACTGGTCTAGTAATTAGGTTGTGGATTGGGAAATTAGGGGATATTATATATGCTTGTGATGTGATTATCAGGAAATACTAAATATAATTGGAATGAAGTTTCTGATGTTTGTGGTGAGTAGTGTAGAGCTTGATATAGTATGGAAAAAGAATCAGGTTGGCCTTTTGGTTTTAGCAGGTTGCAGCAGAGTTTGTGGGAACATTTATTCTGATATTTGGAGCAACAGCAGGACCAATTGTGAACCAAAAATACGATAGAGCAGAAGGTCTAATAGGGAATGCAGCATGCGCTGGGCTGGCTGTTATGATAGCCATCCTTTCAACAGGACATATATCTGGAGCTCATCTTAATCCATCCCTTACAATTGCCTTTGCTGCTTTTCGTCATTTCCCGTGGATTCATGTCCCGGCTTATATTGCAGCACAGGTTTCTGCATCTATTTGTGCTTGTTTTGCGCTCAAAGGTGTATTCCATCCTTTCTTGTCTGGTGGTGTCACTATTCCTTCTGTCAGTACTGGCCAGGCATTCGGTCTTGAATTCCTCATAACCTTTAATCTGCTGTTTGTTGTAACCGCAGTTGCCACTGATACCCGCGCAGTATGTAATTAATAATCAACAATATCATGGTCTCAATAGAATTAGACTCTAAAAAACATAAAACAAAACAAAATTAATATCTTGCTGATGACTGTTTTTTATCAGGTTGGAGAATTAGCCGGAATAGCAGTCGGAGCTACAGTTATGCTCAACATTCTTGTGGCTGGGTGAGTGTAAATTCCTTCTTGTTGCCCTCTTGTTTTCTGTTGCCATTACTTACTCCTAGATCAACATTATCAGAATATACAAATTTCCTGGCATTTATATAGATTCTGTCCTTGAAATTGTCAAGGATAATTAACATGTTAAGATAAATATATCCATCAATCTATTCTTTGTTGGATATTCTACAAAATTTACTAGAAAGATGTTTATGATTTGGCAGGCCATCTAGTGGTGGTTCAATGAATCCGGTGCGAACTCTGGGGCCAGCAGTTGCAGCAGGAAATTATAAGTCGATATGGATATACATGGTGGCACCTACACTTGGGGCTCTTGCCGGGGCAGCTATCTATGCGCTTGTGAAGCTTCGAGGAGACGAAGATGACGAACCTCGACGTCAGCTCAGCAGGGCTAGTTAGCTAGCTAGCTCACCTTGCGAATGAAAACTCTGTCACTACTTCATATATAATATGTCTAAAGACGAAATAAACTTGGTTTGCTTGTGAGAATAATTGAGGGCCAAGGATGAAGATGATGTTCCTTCTAAACTATGCCCCAAGGTTTGAATAAATTTTGCTGCTGCTTGTGTTCAGATCCTCCCCTGACTTCTTCTAGAGGATGCTGTAATTTGTATATTTGTGTGATATTACAATTTCAAAATGCTTGATTGCTAATTAAGAACAAGAACAAACAGGAATCATCTATATAATCGAGCTTCTCGAGGGTGAAAAGTCTTCTTGAGATTTGAGTCCTTTATAAGGAGCTTTTAAGCACTCTCTAACACGCTCGGCTTGGCATGCATTATTTAAGAGAAAATGGTATGTTATTGTTAGGTAATACCATTACCATGTCACAAAGAATTATCGATAGGGTCAATATTCAACACACACAGCAGAGTGCACAAGGCCAAAAGCGTGTTGGATTTAAGTCAAAAGTGTTTTGTTTTCGATAGGATTTATTGCAATATTTAGCCATTGTTTGGTATTGATTAAAATTCAAATTTTATTCTAAGTCAAAAGTCGACAATTCATTTTAATCATATATTTTATAGGATTCACAATTTTTCATTTATACATTTCATCAATTTTTATTAAAATCTACTAAAAGTTTAATTTTAATCCCCACCAAATTGGGGCGTAGCAAAATTTGTTTTTTTATCGAATTATAACCACAAAATCCCANAGCTCACCTTGCGAATGAAAACTCTATCACTACTACATATATAATATGTATAAAAGACGAAATAAACTCGGTTTGAATAATTGAGGGCCAAGGATGAAGATGATGTTCCTTCTAAACTATGCCCCCAAGGTTTGAATAAATTGTGCTGCTGCTTGTATTCAGATCCTCCCCTGACTTCTTCTAGAGGATGCCGAAATTTGTATATTTGTGTGATATTACAATTTCAAAATGCTCGATTACTAATTAAGAACAAGAACAAACAAGAATCATCTATATAATCGAGCTTCTGAAGGGTGAAAAATATTCTTGAAATTTGAGTCCTTATAAGGAGCTTTTAAGCACTCTCTAACACGCTCGGCTCGGCATGCATTATTTAAGAGAAAACAACCATGCTGCAGTGCCCGAATTTTTTTGACAGAGGCGGTGACCCACACTCACAACAGCGGGTGGGGTCCGCTCTTTTTTGCAATTTTTAATTCATGTGGGGTCGATCGGATGTGAGGGGCGGTCACCCCTTCTGGCACCCATTTTCGAGTAGTTTAGCATTTTTGAAGAGAAAATGGTATGTTATTGTTAGGTAATACTATTACCATGTCACAAAGAATTATCGATAGGGTCAATATTCAACACACAGATTAGAGTACACAAGGCCAAAAGCGTGTTGGATTTAAGCCAAAAGTGTTTTGTTTTCGATAGGATTTATTGCAATAATTAGTCATTGTTTGGTACTGATTAAAATTCAAATTTTATTCTGAGTCAAAAGTCGACAATTCATTTTAATCATATATTTTATAGGATTCACAATTTTTCAATCACACATTTCATCAACTTTTATCACAATCTACTAAAAGTCTAATTTTAATCCAACCAAATTGGGGCTAAGCAAAAACCTTTTTTTTTTTTTAATCGAATTATAACCACAAAATCCCAAAAAGGGACGAGGAGGTTATGAAAACCTGTGGTGGGGACAGGATAGACATAAACGAAAAACCATAGGGGCTAAATTGACATTACACCATATTCTTTGCAAGAATTGCGTGGTCTACCTCAGGGAGTAAAAAGTTTGAATCGTCACTGAACTTATCAATTTGTTACGTTGTGGTAACTGAACTTCATTTGCCTTCCCAACGGTCACTGAACTTACCGGCCATTCCCTCCATCCACCACCCACCATCTCCACCGTTTGGATCTGCTCGACGTGGCCCGACGGCCTTCGAGCTGGCAGTCGACGGCGTGAATTACGCCCATGTCGGACGCGACTTCTTCCTGCAAAACACGCCATTTCTCTCTGAAACCATTTCTACAATTCGAAATCCCTACAAAATTTCTCCCCAAAATCGAAACAAGCCCTAGTTCTTCGTCGCCTTCAATTCCCTCCCCCAAATTAAAGCTGGAATTGAGCATCATAGTTGCATGGTTGATCTCCTTGGCCGGGCTGGGGAGATAGAAGAAGCTGAAGATTTGATTAAAAATTCGCAACTCTGTAACGACTCGTCTCTTTGGGCTGATCTGCTCGGTGCTTGTACAACAAGTACAAATCCTACTGTTGCAGAACGCATTGCTAAGAAAATGATGGAATTGAGACCTGATTATCATTTGAGCTACGTACTTCTAGCTAATGTATACAGAGCAGTTGGACGGTGGAATGATGCTCAAAAAATAGAACAGAATGCAGAAGAAAGGGGTTACAAAAACACCTGGAAGGAGTTGGATTGATAATAATAGCAGCTCAAGTTTCTCATTTTTGGTGAATTCTTATTTGGAGCTTATATGAATGGATATCAGAAAGGGAATTGGCAGTTTCAACAGCAAATGCTCAATAAATCCAACACAGTGAGACCAACTAGATATACAGAGTACAACTGGTGTGACAACACTACTCAAGTAAAAAAAAAAAAATATATGTTTATTGTTGAGGTACTTTATTTATTAGAGGATTGCACTACCAACATTTGATTGAACAGAGGTTTAGCATGAGATGAGAACCGAGGTACAGAACTAAGATTAAACTTCAGGGGACTGAATATGCCGTGGGAAAAATAAAGGTGACCTGTTCAACAACCCAGTTTTTAGTCAATGAAATTTGATTTGGACGAATGGCATCACTCTTGAAGCCGCAGAGTGATTCTGAGCAAAACTCGCGGCAAAGCCCTTGAGATTTTGTGCAAAATTCCACAGATGGTCAAACACATATTTTATTATTTCTACTGAATTTAGCTATTATTTTTGGTAATATTATCGTAATTTTCAAATTTTCTTGCACTTAATGTTTTTACAGCATCGTACAAATAAGCAGTCCAGAGTTGGCATAGAAGCATTGCGGATTGATTAAACAATATAACATAATAGAAACCTGTATGAAGTTTCTTTTGTTCTTCATAACTTAAAAACATTATATTCTATGACAACCACATCTATATTTTCATATAAATTGTTTTTAACTTTGTGAACAGCATTTCAAGGACGCTCTTAACAAGCACAGAACAGGATTTGTTCATTGGTGTCTTTAAGAAGATTATCTAAATATTTACAGGAGATGAACTGTGGGGATAAATAAGTCCTACACAATCACCAGAATTAAAAGGTTCATCACATAAATAATTACGGTGCATTCTACAAGCAGTAAACGTGAATTTGTAGGAGAAAAGTTTGCAAATATTGGTGCCACAACTGCAGTAGTCCTCTCAAGGAAGTATACAATTACCAGCTGGATCGATAATTTGTCTACAGTGTGATATACACTAAATAAAGGATCAGAAGCAATATGATTATAAGAAGGGTTATGCTTAACCAGACCTACCAAATACTGTTCCTTATATTTACATTATTCTTTTTTCATTTCTTTATGGTTTGGAGTGGGTGCTACAACCAAGCCTGTTATAGTAGTTGTTAGTAAGGTTACTGTAATACTGTTTGACACTACAATTGTTACATGAATCTTTCAAAGTCTCATGGTTGCATACTGCCAGGAATTCATAGAATTGCATCTCTATCTGAGAACCATTTGACCAGCTCAACTCATATATCTTCCCAACAAATACTAACGGAACTTATATTTATGAGGTCTGCCTTCAAATATAATTGGGTTTCAAGTTTCAACTATGTACTAATGTTCATGGTCAAGAGATCTATGTTTCAGAAGGCAAAAGATGAAAGCTAGGAGAGGCTAACACACCAGGTGTGGGGTTCATCCCTTTTGTGTCCTCATTGTAAATACTTTAAAACGACAAATTTTGGGGGTAGAAAAATGTCAAAATTCAGCTCCATGTATTGTAACAACACGAATTTAAATGAGCTGCCAAGGTGCAAACAAAAAGAAAGGAACTTGAGATTGACACCAATTGCCCAAAATGTAATGCCAGGTAGGTGGGAAAAGAAGCTTAACTATATAGCATCCACAATCTGTTAAAAGATAAAAAGAGAATGACTCATTGTGCTTTGATATCAGTAGGAAAAAACAAAATTCATTGAGCTTTTGGTTTCATTTTACATCTTTAG